GAGATCTTGGAGCCTCTGACAGGTGATCCTGACTGGTTTGGCTGGGAGGTTCTCAAGTGCCTGCACTTCAGTTGCCCTTCCCCCCACTGCCCTGCTGCTCCTGCCCAGAACCTCAGACCTGTCCCCTGGGAGCCTCCTGCATGTAGTGCGGGATGGGGAAGACAGGCAGGGGGGCCTCGGTGTTGCTCTGTCCCCCTCTCCTGTACCCCATTTTCACAGAGTGAGGAGGGTGGGTCCTCATCAAAGGGGTGGAGCAGGGGTATTTGGGTTTGAGGTAGATCCTGGACTGACAAATTGAAAAAGTGATCTTGTGCTTAAAAAGGCTGGAGACCACTGGGCTAAGCTGATGGAAAAGAAATGATATTTGCCTTGGACAGACATACCCTCTGCTGTTTCTCCGAGATCTCAGCCCTGGATATGACTCCACTGATTTCCATGTTTTTGGTGAAGGGCTGGACACCAGAACTTGGGAAGGGACACTGGTAGGTTTTAAGTGTGTGTGGGAGAAACGAATTCCCCAAAATGTTTTGTTTATGAACTGGAGTCATAAAATGCCCCCACTTCGGCACAAACAAAAAAGTTTTGTTTCAGTTTTGAATGGTTTAAAAGAAAACCCACACATTTTGGCAAGTGTTAAATTAAATGCACACACACACACAACCCAGAACAGTTCTGAATAGATCTTAATTTTTGGATTAATGTCCTGGCAATTTTTAAACATGTACAGTGCAAGATCATTGCCAAAAGCTTTTGACAAATATTGAGAGCCAATCTTTAGACACATCCAATGGAAGGAAATTCCAACCCAAACGTTGTTTCGATCCTTTCCTCTTCCCCCCAAAAAATCATACCAGTTTTGACTTTTTGTGAATCTTGTTTTTCAAGTGGACCACTTTGGCAAGACTGTGGCAAGCTGGCGAGACGTGTAGCTGTGCTTTTTTGCTGCATTTGGTCAGGAGGGGGGGGTTCAACTTTCTCATCAGAAGTGAGACGTGATACCCATCACATCAGGGCCAAATCTCCTCCTCCGGGTGTATTAAGGACCAACCAGCCCAGGCAGCTTGTTCCCCCAGCCCTGTCCAGAATCAGCAACCCAGAGCCACCGGATGGGAGTCTGTTCCATCACTTCTGCCAGGCTTTCCCATGAAGGGAGGGACTGGGACATGGGGTGCCAAGTGAACTGACTTGGATCAGCCCAGAGAGAATAGGCCCCCACTCCGCAGCCACAAGCGAGCTCAGAACAGCCTGATCCAGGCTGCATGGGGAGGTACCCCATGCAAGAAGCTAAGAGTGTCCCAGGCTTGTGACTCAGCACTACTGGAAATGGCTGGAATGGAACCCCGGTGTCCTGGCTCCCAGCCCCCACCCTTCTGCCCTAACCACTAAACCCCACTACTCTCCCAGAACAGGGGAGAGAACCCATGAAGGGATCCTGGCAGAGGACCCAGGCCAGGCTGTCTCCACCTGGATGGCTCAGAATTGTCCCCTGCTCCCAGAGGTGGATGGGACTAGGGGTCACAGACAGTCCCAGAGCCCCAGCTGTTCTCAGTCCTGGAGATTTGTAGCAGACTGACTTGGGATCTCCACCCAAGGCATGTTTGTTATTGTAGGGTCTCTTTCTGGTTCCCTCCAGAGCAGGCCAATGGGCCATATCTCATCACCACTGCCGTGGAATTACATGAGATTTAATCCTTCCCTCTCCCCAACTGGATAATATGGGGAGGGGGAAGAAATAGCCCCAAAGCTATTCAGCTTCCTGGACAGATAGCTACATGGGGGGTATTTTGAGGTCTGGGGAAGGCAACAGGCCTGACGGAGGGGGTGGGGAAGCTGGGAGCAGGACTCCTGGCTTCTCTCCCAGCGCTGGGAGGGGAGTGGGGGCTAGTGGTGAGAGCTGGGGTGGGGGATGGGAGCCCGTCCTACTGAGTCATAAAGAGACCTGACCTGAAGCTCCCAGCTGCCGACAGCTCGGAAATGATTCACGTCCCAGCTGCCGAGGCCTGGCCCGGTGAAACGCGACTGGGAATGAGTCTTTGGCGCTGCCCCAAGCGGAGCGTCGTTCAGAGATACCAGCCCCGCTTCCCGGCTGCAGCCCACCGCCCCACCCCCCGCGGTCCCAGCTGGGGGCGGGGGCAGATCTCGGAAACAGGCAGATGGTTTTGCAGAAAAAGCCACCAGACTGCAAGGGGGAGGGAAACGGAAACGGTGGTGCGAGAGATCAGAGTGCACGGGGCGGGCAGCGAGCCCAGGAGTGGGGGCTCCCGCTCCCCCAGTTCCCCGGCCCAGAGCCGGGGAGAGGACCCAGGAGTCCGGGATCCCTGCACCCCGGCTTCCCTGCCACAGCCACTCTCACAATCAACTCATCACAGCTATTCTCAGCCCTGCCCCGCGGCCCACGACCTCAGCTCCCTGCAGCCAAAGTAGGGAGCTGCGCTAACTGTAGCCCTCACCCCCCACCCCAGCCGCCCCCTCTCTGGGGGGGCCCACTCACCCCTTCTGGAGCCGGCCCCGGCTTCACAGCAGCCGGTTCTCCGCACCCCGACTCTCTCCGATCAGCATCCAACAGCAAGGGACTGGGGGGAAGGCAGGAAGTTGCTGGTTGCTTGTGTTTTGTTCTCCCCCCCCCCCAAACCACTCCCTCGCCTCTCAGTTTCGGGATGCTACTTCCGAGCGCAACCACCAACTCTCCAAAAGCGACCCAAACAATAACAAAAAGTTCTTGTAAGTTTCATCCCTCCCTCCCCGAAGAAATGACCCAGTCTGGGGCCAGTTTCTCCTGACCCGCTGAACACTGGCTTTAACTTGTCTGATCCCCGCCCCCTGCCCCATACCACTTCCTGATCCTCCCCCCGGCCACTGCCGAGTCATGGTGAGAAATCCGAGGGCCCCTCCCAGACAGAGCTACAGATCACTCGCTTGGGCGGCGGGCAGCCAGCCAGCTTTTGCTTTCCTTTTCCCAGCCGTAGGGAGGAGGAAGAGGCAAGGTCAATTTTCCTTCTACAGAAACGTGTAGACTTAGTTCTGAGTTAGTGAGTCACTTTGGGGCAAACTCACTAGAAAGAAACTCGCCCTTTTAGAGATTCCTGGAGTCACTTTCACTAGAAAGAAATGTTCAAATTTAGGGTTAACTAGAAGACTTATCCGGCATTGCACATGGCCAGGACTGGCCCTGGGTGGAGAGGGCTGTGTTGTCCACTCACCAGCTTCTCCCTGGCATGGCAAGGACCCATGTCCCACCTATTGGCTGCTCCCCAGAGCCAGCCTGGAGCAGTGGTGGATGCAGCCCATTCAAAACAATTACATTCCACATGCATCCTATTGTCTTGGCACAACCAAACCCTGACCTTGTTTTAAGTTAGAAGAGGAAGCTACAAACCAAATTTGGTTGTCCTAGTGCTTACCATTTGGAGGCATTTTTGAATAAACAGACTCACAGATGGATAAACACAAAGGCTACGTCTACATTGGCAAGTTTTTGCGCAAATACTTTTAACACAAGAGTTTTTGCGTTAAAGTATTTGCTCAAGAGAGCGTCTACACTTGCATGTGCCTTTGCGCAAGAGATGTGCTTTTGAGCAAAAGCATCCGTGCCAGAGTAGACGCTTTCTTGCACAAGCAAGCTCCGATGGCCATTTTAGCCATTGGGCGTTCTTGCGCATGAAATTTATGTTGCCTGTCTACACTGGCCTCTTGCTCAAGAACAGTTGTGCACAGGGGCAGATGACAATTTTGCGGGGCCCAGGGCAGCACAATTTCACGGGGCCCCCCCTTGCCCCGGCGCATGCGCGGGGCTTCTTGAAGCACGGGGCCCGGGGCGTCCGCCCCACTCGCCCTGCCCTATATCCGCCCCTGGTTGCTCAAGAGGGCTTACTCCTGAGCTGGAGCATCATAGTTCTTGCACAAGAAGCACTGATTTCACACATTAGAAAGTCAGTGTTCTTGCACAAGAACTCCCCGCCAGTGTAGACAGGTAGCATGTTTTTGCATAAAATCATGCCAATGTAGTCACAGCCACTGACAGACAGATACACAAACGCTCTATAGTAGATCTAAAACAATTGAAACCACTGCTAATTTTGTGTGTCTGTGGGTGGGTGTCAATTTCACTAGAAATAAATATGCCTGTGCAGATTTAATTAAAATAATTGAGGTGTAAACTGGTTCCTTTGAGTCAATTTCACTTAAAGCTAAATTTGTTCATTTCTTTCAAGTGAAATTGACCCATGAAATCCATTTTCATCTCAGTTATTTTAAACTGATGGACCCAACACATCAGTGATTGGCTCACTTTTGGAAAAACTACAGCTAAATTTGCTCATTTCTATCAAAATTTCAAAGACTGACATATTGGGTCCATTTCACTCACATGTACAAATGTAGATTTAGTTTAAAATAACTGAGCTGAAAACTGGTTCTGTGGCTAAATGTCACTTGAAAGAAATGAGTGAATTTTAGTTTTCATTTGCAAATACTGAAAGGATTTAGAGCATTGGCGAGCAACCTGTAGCCCATGGGCCCACTGGGGTTCTAAGTGTGACCCACGAAATAGTTTGTTTACTGTTGCCCACGTGCAGGGTCACCAGAATCCGCTGGTTTCCATCTGCAATGTTTAAAATCACATGCACATACAACAAGGGCACGTGAAGTGAGGGGCATGCTGACTGCTCACAACATGGACTGTGAGTGCCGGGCGCTGTCTCTCTCTGCAATCACAGTGCTGTTAGGATTCAGTTACCACATCCCACAATTTGTAGGTACACATGCACAGTGAGCAAAACCACCCTCTCCTGGGAGACTGTCTTGGTTACAACAATCTTGTGTCCCACTCGCTAGCCTAGGTTGCCCTTTGCTGATTTAGGGTGACCACATGTCCTGATTTTATAGGGACAGTCCCGATATTTGTTTTTTTTTTCTTAAATAGACACCACTTACCCAGCACCTCTGTTCCCCATTTTTCACACTGTCTAGTCACCCAAAAGGATTGCTGATGGGAGAGGGCTGGAGCAGTGGAGCTGTGAACCCAGCAGACCCACTCGCTAGCCTAGGTTGCCCTTTGCTGATTTAGGGTGACCACATGTCCTGATTTTATAGGGACAGTCCCGATATTTGTTTTTTTTTTCTTAAATAGACACCACTTACCCAGCACCTCTGTTCCCCATTTTTCACACTGTCTAGTCACCCAAAAGGATTGCTGATGGGAGAGGGCTGGAGCAGTGGAGCTGTGAACCCAGCAGATGTGGCCAGTATGAGCCAATTAGGTCCCAGCTGTGGATGGTATAAATAAAGGCTCCTGGAGGGGATGGTGCTCTGGGGGTGGCTCCTCCATGGGGTCTGAGGGACCTGGCTGAGGCTGGGCAGCTGCCATTCCGCCCTCTGGCTGCTACCTGGGTTGCACGTGGCAAATGGCTGTGCTCTGTGCCTGTGCCTTTAAGGGGAGGCCAATTAGGGGGAGCTAACGAGTGGTGATTGCCTGTACGGAGTGTCGGAGAGGCCACCTGTGTTTTTCACTGGAGGCCAATTCTTGCGCAAGTACGCGTTTGCCAAACGTCCACACTGCGCAAGAGCGCCTGCGCAAGAGAGCTTAAGCCTGATAGAAAACAGCGTAGCTCTTGTGCAAGGAGCCGTCTCTTATCACGCCGTACTGTACATTTACTTGCGCAAGAGTGGATGGGCAGTATAGGCGCTCTGCGGATTCTTGCGCAAGAACAGCCATTCTTGCGCAAGAAGCTGCGAGTGTAGACATAGCCCTAATGTCTTGCTCACAACACTCCTTTAAATGCAACCCAGAATTGTGTTTCCTTTTTTTGCAACTGTATCACACTGGTGACTCATGTTTAACTTGTGGTCCACTATGACTCCTAAATCTCTTTCTGTAGTACTACTTCCTAGACAATCACTTCCCATTCTGTATGTGTGAAAACGATTGTTCTTTCCTAAGTGGAGCACTTTGCATTTGTCCTTATTAAACTTCATCCTGTTTACCTCAGACCATTTTTCTAGTTTGTCTAGATAATTTTGAATTCTGACCCTATTCTCCAAATCAGTTGTAACCCCTCCCACCTTGATATCATCTGTAAACTTAATGGCTACGTCTAGACTGGCATGATTTTCCGCAAATGCTTTTAACGGAAAAGTTTTCCGTTAAAAGCATTTTCGGAACAGAGCGTCTAGATTGGCATGGACGCTTTTCTGCAAAAGCACTTTTTGCGGAAAAGCGTCCGTACCAATATAGATGTATTTTTCCGCAAAAAAGCCCCGATCGCCATTTTCGCGATTGGGCCTTTTTTGCGGAAAACAAATCTGAGCTGTCTACACTGGCCCTTTTGTGCAAAAGTTTTGCGCAAAAGGACTTTTGCCCGAATGGGAGCAGCATAGAATTTCCACAAAAAGCACTGATTTCTTACAGTAGGAAGTCAGTGCTTTTGCAGAAATTCAAGCGGCCAATGTAGACAGCTGGCAATTTTTTCCGGAAAAGCGGCTGATTTTCCAGAAAAAATGGCCAGTCTAGACACAGCCAATAATTGTATTCTCTATGCCATCTTCTAAATTGTTGATGAAGATATTGAACAGAACTGGACCCAAAACAGACCCCTGAAGAACCTCACTTGTTATGCCCTTCCAGCAGGATAGTGAACCGTTAACCAATGAAGAGTTGCAGTGGGTCACTGATGCAAGGAGGGCCCAGGGTGTTGGGAGTTCCCAGAGTGGAAGGATCCCAGAGTACAGAGACGGGGAGACACCAGCCAGAAAGGGGCATTCCAGCACCAAGAAGCTAATTCCCAGAGTGACCAGCAGGAGGCGCCCCAGTGGTGAGTCACGCCCCATGACACAGGAAAAAGCTATTTTTACAGTTGAAATAATCTTAAAAATGTAAGTGGATCACAATCCCTTTGCTTGGGGTACCACGGAGTAATCTGGGTAAAAAAGTAGACTGTAACTGGAGCCCAGCAGCAAGACTGGAAATAGAACTCAGGAGTCCATCTGCACGTGCACACACACCCTTGAAGAATAAGCAAGACGTATGAAAGCATCGTGGTTTTCAAATGATCCGTATGCTTGAAACATTGACAGGGCTGCTGCTGGGAGGCAGCGGTGTTAAGGGGGTAGTTACCCTGGTGTTTAAAAGGGCCCAGGGCTCCGGGTTGCTGCTGCCACTGTTATTGCGGCCACAGACCCTTTAAATGGCTGCCAGAGCCTTGTGTGGCATGGTCCCGGCAGCGCCGAGGGATAGTTGTCCCTAGCCCTTCCCCTTCTGCCTGAGGCCCTGCCCCTTCTGGGAGCCCAACCCTCCCCACATTACCCGGGGCCCGGCTACGTCTGTCACCAGCTCTGTGTAATGATATCTCCATACGTGCCTAGCAACTTGCATCATGTCCCCACTGTGCCAGGAGCCATACAAACAGAGCAAAGAACTTATGTCCTGCATGAAATTAATCTTGGACCAAGAAAAGACACTGTCCGCTTTGTCAATGCCAACTCTGTCACCGGGGATTTGTGCCGCATTAGATTTCACAGTCACAACACCTTGTTCTTCTAAGCAGATCTACTGCTGCTTTTCCTCATGAAGCAGATGGGGAAACCGAGGCAGAGATTGATAGCATGACTTTACCCCAGATCACCCAGTGGCCAAGCCAGGAACAGAACTCAGGTGTGTCCCAGTCCACCGCTACAGGGCTCCTCAGTATGTAAATCATCAAAATCCCAGTGGCTTCAAATACTCCAACGTTTTTGATCTTCCTCTTAATTTTGAGGGTGTTGGTTCATTCCCCCTCAAATGGTGACTCGGTCACCAATAGAAAATTCCTTTTGGTCTCTCAAT